AAAAGAGGGAGGGACGGGGGCACCTCCCACAAGATGGCGGCGGGCGCGCGGCAGCACCGCCTCCGCGCGTGCCCGTCCCCATGGCAACGGGGCGAGCGCGCGCGCAGGGGGCGGGGCGGCCCCGGCGGTGACGTGTCGGCGGGTCTGACGGTGCCGCGCGGCCGCTTCCGGTGAGCTCGCGCCCCTCAGGGACGCCCCCGCGGGTGCCCCGGGGCGGTCCCGGTGGGACGGGCGGGGGTCCTGCGGCCCCCCCTTCCCGGCCGGGCAAGTGCCCCGGGCCCCTCCCCTGCCCCAGGTCCGTGCGGTGCGGCCGCCGGGAAGGATGCGGCACGGTGGGGCTGCCTGTGAAGCCCTCGCCCCTTGGGGTCGGATGTGGTGCAGTTAGGAGGCCACAGGCAAAGGCTGTCTGCTAATTGCTGCCCGAATGTAAATGGGAAACGGAACGGCGTTCGTGCATGGGGAAATAATGAGGCTTTTCTGTGAAAAGCTAGGCGCGGCCTCCCGGGGCAGGAGGTGAACGTCAGAAAGTGACATGACTGGCTGCGAAGTCAGGAACCACACAGAGATGTGTGATGGATGTAGGGGATAGAACTGTAAGTGTCTTTAGCGGCCGTGGTGCAGGTCGAACGTGTGAAGAAGCACTTCAAGAAAGGACCACCTTTTTTTCTGTGCTTTGGAAATGCTACACGTGTCAGGGGTTTTTTGAATCATACTGGTTTTGAAATATGCAGCATTCAAACTTGAGGACTGTCTCCTGTCTTATGCAGAGCAGAGAACCAGAGTCATTTGACATGTTTGTCATCTTTGATGTAAGAGCAGAGACTATAATGTGACTTTCAGAAAAAAAAAAACAAAGAGAAGGAGCTCAATAAGTGTGACAGGTTGGTTCTGTGCAGTTTTCTATGGAGATCACTCATTTATTGGGGTTTATTCTGTTCTTTCTTCCCAGGGAGTTTGAAATAAGCAGCATCAGACAAGCAGGCTCCAGTTAACCAAAACAATGTTTGCAGATTTGGACTATGATATTGAGGAAGATAAGCTGTGAGTATTTAGCTTGTCTTTTCCTGTTTTTTCTAACAATGGAAATAGTCTTTGCAGCCAAGATCTAACAAGAGTTGATAAATTTACCTACTCCTGTCACTGTGTGCTGCACGTCGTACTTGCTGTTCGGTCCTAATTTCTTGCTCCCTCTGGAGACTGGGGATGAGGCATCACTGTGCTGGTGAGCAAAGGAGAATGTTTGTGTTGCTCTGCAATGGCTGCCTTGCATTTCTGATTGCAAAGCAGTGCTGACAGGTCTCCTGTAAATTACTGGCCTTAGCTAGAGAAAAAAAACACTTACAATAGAGGAAAGATAGTAAGAGACAAGAATAAGTGGAAACTCTGGAGTCCTTCGGTCTACAAGGAGGAGAACACTGTCATTTCCTAAGCAAGTAAAAGGTTTGATGAGATTAGCAATTAATTTAACATCGAGCACTTGATTTGCATCTCATTTATGCTGTGCAAGTTTTCCTCTCACTCCAGCACTAAATGATAGTGTTTCCTCAGTGCCTAGCAATGGATGAGGGTGTCTCTCCCACCTCTAATCCTTGCATGAAGTCCCAAAAAAGATAGCCCAGAAGGTGTTCCTGCTAGCCCATGCTGATAGACTCTGGCAGAGATGAAGGGATGAATTCAAATGTGCAGCGCCCATTATGTTTTTGGTTTGTATCAACTCAGATGCAGCTGTTTCGTACAGAGGCAGCTCTGCCTATCTGTTCATTTACTCCTTTTTCCTTCTAGGGGCATCCCCACTGTACCTGGAACAGTGACCCTGAAGAAGGACTCTCAGAACCTGATTGGGATCAGCATTGGGGGAGGAGCACAGTACTGCCCCTGTCTCTACATCGTCCAGGTAGGCACTCAGGAGGGAGGAGTAAACCATCTTTGTAAAACAGTGTTGGCCTGAGAGATGGGAAGCGTGGAGGAACCTATGCTGTTTGTTTTTATCAAAGTGGGAGATGACATCTCACTTTGCAGTGAATAAGATTTCCTTATCCTAGAACCTAAAGGTGTGGAAGAATTAAATTAAGACTTCTGGAATTATCCTGCTCTTATGAGAGCGTGTTAGAACTCACAGGGGAACAGTATGACATTCTCAACATCAGGAGATCACACACTTGAGGAGGTTCAACCTGGAGGCGAGAATTTCCTGAGAGAACAAGATGATCAGCCCACCTTGTAGCTTGGGAAGGAGGAAAACTGCGGCTTCACCGGGAACAAAGTACAACTGAATTAAATAGGAGGAATGTAATTGTTTGGGCTTTGTTCTTTAGCCCCGCATTCACCTTTTTCTTCCTCTTGATTCCAGACTCTGTTTTTGTCCTCTTTCTCCTCTCTGCTAGGTGTTTGATAACACTCCAGCAGCCTTGGATGGCACCGTAGCAGCCGGCGATGAAATCACAGGAGTGAATGGGAAGTCTGTCAAAGGGAAGACCAAGGTGGAGGTGGCCAAGATGATACAGATGGTAAAGGTGAGAGGTAGGAGGGGGCCACTGGAGCTTCTGAGTTGTAGCTGGCAGTTTATTGTCCTTGGGTTAAGGAAGCCACTGCTACTTGTTTGCAGCACAGCAGTTTTGGACTTGCTCTTTCTACAGGGAGAAGTGACAATACACTACAACAAGCTTCAGGCTGACCCAAAGCAGGGCAAGTCTCTGGATATTGGTAAGACTAGTTTCTTTCACAGTACAGTGTTAAAATGAAGGGGAGGGATGAAAAATTGTTCCCAGCTAAAATTAAAGTTTTTCCTGTTTTCCTTCTTGTTCTTGACTCAGTTGTTTTCAAATGTCAAAGAGAATTACAGACTTAAAAAATCCATTCCTAACTTCTTGAAATAATCTTGAAAGTTAAGTCAAGGCTTGACTGTTGTTGTGGGAGGCTTGTTTTTCTGTGCTGTGTTTAGCATGGTTGATGAATCTCAACTTCATAATAATTTGATCAATTTATTTTTAATATGTGTGAGCTATGCTGATTTGTTGAGATTTTTAGCTGTACACAGCAATGTGTACAAAACACTGCTGGCAATTTCTCAGCTTGGAGAACAATGATGAAATACCTACCTACACTGAGTTTTGTACAAATATATATTTAGTGGGAGAGAGGGGAGAGGGAAGCGTTATTGCTAAAATGAAGTGCTTGTTTTGAACTAAGCCTACACAGCTGTCTCTCACTTTCCAAAAAAATCCATCTATTCTGTTTGTTCTCATTTCTTTTCATGGTGATTATGGTGCTAAGGGGTTCAGGAAAATCCTGAGTAGTGAGATGGACTTCTGAGGAAACAGAAGTGTGGTGAGAATAAGGAATTTTCCAGAGATGCTGAACACTGTGGCTTAAGTTGAGTTCTTGGGATATGCAGGCGCCACAAGTTTGCTTCTAAATAAATGTGGCTGAGTCATCTGATGCCAAGGAGGGCATAACTGTCTCTAGTAATTTGCAGGGTATGATTTGCACCATTCCATCAAGAGGTGACGAAGAGGTTTAACTAGGATTCAAAAGATAAAAGTAAAGAAAGGGGCAACACTGAGAGCGAAATCCTGTTTATCTTGCTTTCAGCCTCGTCTCCTCACTTCAGTTTAAGTAATATAGTGAGTAGCATAAGCAAATTTTAGTTCCAAATATCACGTTAGGTTGCTTATAGCGAAGTGTTTGATTGGAATAGTGTTCCAAAAGAGTTGCTGGAGCTCTCTTGATTGAGATATATATATATATATAGAGAGAGAGAGAGAGAGGTGAGAGCAGAACAGATAGGCAGGTTAGAAGATGTGTTATGCATGGCTGGGCCAGAACGTCCTGTTTCTATGGTGCTCTCCTTCTGCTTGCCACCTCAGTACTGGGTTAAGTGCAGTTTTATCCAGTGCCTGGGAAACCAGTGAAGTGTGCCCGTGAGCTTTTCATGCCCACAGAAATGACACTGATCCCAGTTTGCAACTCTTTTTTCGCCTTTAGTATTGAAGAAGGTAAAGCATCGACTGGTAGAGAACATGAGCTCGGGGACAGCAGATGCCCTGGGGTTAAGCCGAGCAATACTTTGCAATGGTAAGTGTTGTTCAGGAGGACATTTCCTTAAGGGAACATTCACCCTCAAGTGTTTACCTGCTTTCTATTGTAACTTGCATGGTCCACATTATTCCTTATAGTTCTTGCATTCTGCTCTGCCTCACTGTTGTGATTGCCTCTGCCCTTCCTGAGTGATATAACCTGTCATTGGGGCCATTTAAATGTTGGGTAAGGTCAAATTAATTTAAAGCAGGGACCCATTAGTGAATGCCAATAGTGGTGGCCCCACACTATAAAATAAGTTTGCAGATATTTTAAAAGCTTCCCCTGCTGTTGTACTACAGGACAGGTATTAAGGGGTGAGGGAAATTTGAACCAAATACGTTAAACTGGTGTTTTTTCACTGAATCAGGTCTTAACCGTGTCCTGAATTGGATTGCTGTAATTCTGTATTCTGTTTCTATTCAGATGGGCTAGTGAAGAGATTAGAGGAGCTGGAGAGGACTGCAGAGTTATACAAAGGTAAACTGCATCTCCCCTCAGACACCAGATGGGAGAGAAGGGTGCCTCCGTTATGTTTCAGTGAAGTGACTTAAATGTTTTTTCTGGCTTCCTTCATAGGCTTGACAGAGCACACGAAGAGTCTTCTCAGGGCTTTCTTTGAGCTGTCTCAGACACATAGAGGTAAAGAATCTTGAGCAAAGGGAGCATAAATCTCCGACCTCCAGTTTTGGGAGTTTTAGTCAGTACTTAGATGCATGATTCCCACACTCAGAAAAAACGAAGAGTTGCAGAAATGAGCTGCGAAGGGCCACTCTCCTGCATTAGTGGTCATGGTGCTAATGCAGGCCCTGCCTTGCGCATGAGACATTGAAGAAATGCCCTGCCAATCTCTGGTCTTTAGGGAATATATAGCATCATTCCCCAGCTAATTGTAAGGTTGTTAGGAGGGAGTTGTAGTAATGGAGGCAAGATTTTTCTCCAGGGCTGACCTCTTCTTTCACCTGTCTGTATTTATTCTGCTCACCCAGCATTTGGAGATGTTTTCTCTGTCATTGGTGTGAGGGAGCCACAACCAGCTGCCAGTGAAGCCTTTGTGAAATTTGCTGATGCCCATCGCAACATTGAGAAGTTTGGCATTCACCTTCTGAAAACAATTAAACCGGTAAGGAATTTAACCATGGGAGTAAAGGGTCTGGAGAAGAGGGGAATCTAGAGAGGCAGAAGCCTGTCTTTGAAGGTATGATCTGAAAACTTATTCACTGTGGGAAGAACGGTCCTTTTCTGCTTTCCTTGAGGGCACTCTTTATGATGAAAAGAATGTGAGAGGTAACATAGGGAGTATATCAATCTTGTCCCTGTGACTTTTGCCTGTGACTGTATTCTTCTCCATTTGGGATTAAGGGGGTAGTTTGATCAGTGTAGTACCCATAATTAAAAGATGTCACTCAAAGAGTTTAGATAAGCCGTCCAGGAACAAGTTAAGGATTTCAGTCAATATATTTGAGAGTCTCCAGGGGATCTGTCCACTTAGTTTAGCAAAGAGGATGTTGATTTGGGCACCACTTTCAGTTCCATGTTGGGTGGGCAGTGTTGGGTTGTGAGACTTTGAGTCCAGCAGAGCTGTTTTCAGGACCAGCTGAAAATGAAACAAAACAAATCAAAAGTAGATGATTTCAGACTAGAAGTGAGTCGTGCATTTCTAACACTGAAACCACTTGCCAGTGGCAGTTAGGGAAACTCTAACAGTGACAATTCTGAGTCACGATCAAACATTTTCTTTCAAATCTGCTGTAGTTCAAAAAAGAGTTAATTTGAGGCAGTCTCCTGACATGCTTTGGGTAGAAGGTTACTTGATGAATTGTAGTCATATTTATATATTCAGTGGCAGGGTGTTTCCCTTGCAGATGCTTACTGACTTGAATACGTATCTGAATAAAGCCATTCCTGACACAAGGCTGACTATCAAAAAATACCTGGATGTCAAGTTTGAATATCTGGTGAGCTGCTTGCTTTTGGGTTTTCTTAAGTACTGGTTGAAATTAAGTTTCATAGAATCATCCTGAAACTCACGTAACCTATATAATCACATATCTGTCATTCCACAGTCCATGAGAGAATGCATTATTTTTTCCAGTTCTTTGTTTACTGCCAGATTACTCAAATTCAGACACTTGCTTTTAACCTAATACTTCTCACTGGTTAGAAAGATGTCCCAGAACTCAGGTGATTTATTTTCTAAATGAATTAATTTCCTGATTTGTAGAGAGTTCCTATGCAACTTATGCTCTTGAACTTCTCTAAATAGATCTCCAGTCCATATTTTTCTGGTAATTTTGGGTAGTCTTCTTTAGCCAAAGTAAATGACTGTCAAGTCATATTTGCTTTCATTTAGACCATGCCTTTTTTTTTTTCTTTCTTCATTCCACTTCCCCCTTGTTTTCTACACCCAGAAAGGGTAAGGTTGCTAAGTGCACCTGTTCTGTAACTTTAAGAATTATTTCCTTTTATCTGTTGAGAGAAGTATTTGGAGCTACAGCCCTAAGGCAAAGGAATATGGCAGCATCTCTTCCTGCCTCAATCCTTCCTGCAATTAATCTTTTTTCTCTCTTTATTTATTCCTGTCTCATATTTCTCTTGTACTCTGTTTTCCCAGACAGCAGATGAACACAGGATTTTTCTTTTACTAGATTATACTTACATAAAGTATTTGCCTCTGTAATAAAAATACTAAGCACCTTCTCTCTCCCCCACTGTTGTCTCTCCCCATCTTTCTCTAAATAGATTTTCTTTCTACCTTGGATGTTTAATATTCTCTGATCCCACTGTGCTTTCCGCAGTGACTGTAGCATTGAAGGAAGGCTTGAAATGATACAACTCTATGGGTATGGGTGATGATGAAATTGCCTCTAATTTTTAATATTTCATTCTTGTTTTGTTTTGTTTTGTTTTAATTATTTTTAATTCTGCAAAGTCCTATTGCCTGAAAGTCAAAGAGATGGATGATGAAGAGTACAGCTGCATTGTGAGTACCAGTACAATTGCAAAAGCCCTCCTGTGCCTGTCAGCACCCCAGCTAGTGAATACATCCTAAGAATTACACACGTTTGTTCTTAACTACTAGAAAGTGGGGATCCTTAAACGCTACCTGCGAAGCACTGCCAATAACTGCCATGAATCACTAGTAGAGGGACCAGACATCTCTGCAGCTTGTTCTCTCAGTGGCTGCCTCTCTCAGTGTTTAAGTACGATTAGGTTATGTAAGGAGGATTAAGGTGTTATCTTCACAGATTCCATTTGTGTGTAGTGTACAGCTTATCATTAATTCTGGGCTTGTTTCTGAGAAATGGAGGTTTAGCTTCTCTGCAGCAAAACTCATGTGAAACTGCATTTATAAGTGAGGAAAATTGATTAAAGATTTCTTAACAATAGGGTTTTTATAGCTTAGGGTTTTATGACTTTAATCCTTGACAGCTCTGTTTAAGATAGCTAAAGGTGTCCCATACATCCCAGTATACATCTGCATAAAAATAAGATCTTTTTTTGTCCTAGGTATCAATCTCAGAGCAGGCATTTGATTTTTTTGAAATGCCCATTTCTGGGTTTTGGCAGATGCAGTGTGCATTAGCGAACCGCAGTCCATAATGTAGATTTTTACGTATGTGTTATATTTACAGGCGCAGGGGCAGAATGCTGTTCTGCTGACAGACCTAACACCTTCCTCTCAAAAGTGTTTCGTGGGACAACATATAGGTCCCTTCCTATATGGTTTCCAGCATTGTGTCTGGAAGGTTGTAGATACCATGGGGTTTCCTGTTCAATCCATGTAGGGCAAAGCTTGCAGAGGAGGGCAGGATTTTTTCTGTGATCAATATAAACTTGTTTGTTCATAATGCCTGTCTTAATAGTCCAGATAAAAAGCCATGCCACTTCTCCATGCTGCGTTGAAAGGGGCCTGTTGTTGCTTAATAGTGGTGCTTTTCTTTACTGTGGTGGGTGTGTATTTGGCCTTCAGAATTACCTCACTGAGTGCCAGCTGTTGATGTGACTCAGTGCTCCTCATGTTTCCTTCTTCCTGACTACAGTTCCCATGAGCCTGAAAGTTCTGTAATAACCCACGGTCGCTGTGAGCCCACACTCGTAGGCAAACTGTGTACAAGCACTGTTGTGGGAGTCTCTAAAATGGTGCTGTGTTTTTGGCAGGCTCTGGGTGAACCCCTCTACCGGGTCAGCACTGGGAACTACGAGTACCGCCTTATCCTGCGGTGCCGTCAGGAGGCTCGCACGCGCTTTGCCAAGATGAGGAAGGACGTGCTGGAGAAAATAGAGCTCCTGGACCAGAAACACGGTGAGTCTGGAACCTGAAGGGGTCAGGCAGACACGGCTTTGGCCTTCATGCTCCTCCTTCCTCTCGGCTCAGAAGTCTTTGCTGAAGAACTGTTTTGTGGCTGTGCCCAGACATCCACCCTCAGAAGCCAAAAGGGATTAGCGCATAGGAGACTGTGTCTAATGCTGGCAAGGGAGGCTTGATCACAGCCTTCACACTGTTTGGGAAGAGGGTTTTCACTTGATTTTTTTTCCCAACATGTCTCCACTACAGTGCAGGACATCGTGTTCCAGCTCCAGCGTTTTGTCTCTACGATGTCCAAGTACTACGATGACTGTTATGCCGTGCTCCGAGATGCAGATGTCTTTCCCATTGAGGTGGACCTTGCCCGCACAACTCTCAGCTATGGGCAAAAGGACACATACACAGATGGGGCAGAAGAAGAAGGAGAAAGTGAGAGAGAGGGTAGTGGGAAGGAGGATGCAAATGGAGAAAAGCTCATTGATGATGCCTGAGTGTGCCAGCACGGCCAGAGGAAAGACTTTGCAGACTGTTATGAAAACATGTATTTCACATGGCGATTCATCCTCTGTGATTTCAATGTATGTCCAGCCTGGGATTCCTCCTTTGCTTTGGGTGAAGGTAGCTGGTTGGATTGGAACCAACCTCTGCTTTCCTCGCTTTTCCTTTGCTTGTTTGCCTGGATATTCTTTTTGCCCCCAGAGACTTTTGCTACCCAACTTGGGTACTGAGGTGTGGGGAGGAAAACCCCCTACCGCATTGCCTTGTGACTCTGGGCAGACAGGACTCCGCTGAGCACGTGGGAAGCACCACTCCCTTTTGGCACGTGGAAGCCAGCTAATGGTTTGGAGCTGATTATGAACGGTGAGAACAGCCCGCTTCTGTCCTCCCCTTGTGCTCTGGGAAAGTGTTAGCATCGGCATTGTTTTATTCACCCCACCACTCGCTGTCTCCAAGCTCCTTCTAAGGAGCCGCCTTAGAGCCATGATGGAAGTATCCCATCCTTAAACTACAGAGGAGAGATGGGAAACCTTGAGGAGAGAGGAAGACATGCACTTCAGGCAGAGGCTTTAAGATTTTTTTAGTGCAAAGCATTACTAGCGTGCCACCCTATGCTCTCCTCTCTGCACAATCACTTTGTGCTGCCTCTGGACCAGCCAACAGCAGTAGCTAACATCCCATTCCCCAGCACAAGGGAAGAAGGAAAAGGAAACCTGAGGTAGGTGAGGCTGCTTGTTTCCTTTTCTCTTCCCCTCCCTCCATCCCTGTGGGCTAACCCCAGATGCAGATGGCACTTTGTTAGTGGGCAGCACAACTGCCAGGAGTGGCGTGCTTCTCAGGGCAAGGGTTTTGACTTCTCTGTCATTTCATTCTAGTGGTCATGAGAGAAGTTATTTAAGGGCATTAATTTATGATTGAGATGTTTGGTTTGGTTTGATTTTTCTCTTTGATTTGTTTTTGGAGCTTCTTCATCTCAGTGGGTGCCTGCAAGAAAGCCATCCGTGGTCAAGCTGCTCTGGAAAATTTAGATGGACTCTGGTGTACTGACTGTTGTCTCTAATAAAGAAAAATGTGACATTCCATTTCCTGTCCTTCATGGGTATATGTTGGGAAGATGGGTGTCATGTGCTGGCCATTTTTTTCTTGCTCGTACTGGTGTGTAATCCCTATACCTAGCTATGGTGATCCCTGCAGCACAGGTTTCCCGAGGAAGAGGCTTATAAATACTGTAGCAAGGCCAGTCTTCCATATAACACCAGCTTCTCTGCGTGCCACCAGTTGCCTCAGTCCTGCCAAGGTGGCATCCTTGCACCCCTCCGTGGCCAGCTTTTCCACACAGCTCAGCTGTTGCATCACAAGCTTCAGCTGATGCTTAAGTCCCTGATCCTCTTTCAGAGCTGGCTGTTGTGCCAAAACATGGAGCAGTTGAGAGGAATGGGCTTCAGCGGAGCCTGTCTAAAAGCCAACAAGGCCAAGTGGAAGGCAGCATAGCCAGGATTTTAGGAAGAGTTCTGGAAATCTTGCAGCACCGTCTGTAGTGAGATCTCATGCCCTAAGAACTTCTATGTGCTTTTGAGAGAAGATTTAAGAGCGGGAGGCTTAGTGGGAAATGTTGACTGGTGACAAGGAAACAGAGGGGACCTTGTTCTGGTGACCTGCCTCGCTGACAAGGGCAGTTGTTTTCATGCTGTGGACCTTGGACCTCTGGGAAGTTGTGAGCTCCTTCTTGGAGGAGGCACTAGTGAATAAGGGAAATGCAGCCCGGGGGACAGGGGTTTGGGATGGCTGGGGAGAGAGCTGCAGAGCAACTTGGTGGAACAGAAACATTGGATCTTACCTTGTGGGGAGGGAGAACAAGCTTACAGAGCAGTGAATGAAGGCCTACGTCATGATTGAAGGGCCCCATCACTCTTGCTGCTGTTCCCATTCCCACAGGGCTTCCCATCTCGGGTTTGTCACGGTACTTATTCTGAACTGCAGTGTTTCAAAGTGCGTTTGAATAGGAAAAAGCCCAAAGTCACCAACATGACTGGCTCAAAATCAGATCTAACAGTGGTGTTACCCAAAGTGGGGCAGGGTACAGCCCTATGGGGTCTACTTTCTCCCCTCCAATTTCCAGTTCTTCTATCTCTTCTTAAACTGGTATTCTTCAATTTTATAATAAGCTTTATTTTGCTTATCATTTACTGCTTTTTGCTTGGGAGCATCTGTAATGAAACCCTTTCCTTCATGCTCCTGCTGTGTTTAAATGGCTTTATGGGTCCTGCAGGTTTGACCAATTACCCATTCATTTGTAGTCAGTCTGGTGTGGAATGAAACACTTCTTTTGGTGGCCCCATGAGCTGCCTTCCCTGTAGCCCTCTGCTTAGTTTTTTGATCCCTCGTTATAGTCACAGGTTCTCCCCGGGGTCTCTGAGGTGAAGCAGTTCAGGAAACCGGAAGAAAGAGCTTTGGTCAGGGGTGTTTATAAAAGATCCAGTCCTTAAAGGAGATTAGAAGTGGTTTAAGCATGCCAGGGAAGGTTGTCCTCTCTGAATCCACCACTGCATCGGGGGGTGAGGGGGTCATGCCTGCCTTACCACGTGCTCCAACACTCTCTTTAGTGGCACCCAAGGGCTGGGGCTTGTCCTCCTGCCTTACCTTTGATTCCTTTATGTAAGGGGGTTTTCTCTATTTAAAAGGAAAACACAGGCATGTCTGGTGCCATTCCTGCTCAGTGGATAATCGCTTGGGACATGGTTATTTACCTGCCCTGAAACCCCCACCCCCACAGGGGCCAAGTTGTTCCCTTCACACGTCAAACAGGACTCACTTGAGCCTAGATAAAGCTGGCTTGGTGCTATTCCTGTCAGCGAGGCTCCATGTTGTGGCTGCACACCTAATGGCATTAGCCTTTCTTAGATGTCTTCTTCTTGTACCTCAGCAGCAGCCTCTAACACAGCACTTCCCTGCTTGGAAAAGCAGTACCACGTGTCAATGCCCCAGCTTTACCATCCACAAAAGTTGCACCAGACAGAGGTGGTTGGAGCTGGTGACTCCCCGTTTTGGCAGCACCCAAGGGGGATACTGCAGGGAACGTGGTGTCTACCCCCATGCTGGTGGTAGCTGAAGGTGGCCCAGGTGATAGCTATGAATTACACCACCTCCTAAACCCACTGCCAATGAGACTGATGCTATCCCAACCATTGGAAATGGGGTGAAGGAAACTCTGACACCAGAACAAAGCGGACCAGATCTGATTACAAAGAGTCTCTAATTGTTTGTGTTCAGTATTGTGACAATGCAGAAGGAAAAGGAGAGTCCTTGGCAGCCTCTTCAGAAGACTTTCTCCAGGGCTGGTTTGAAAGTGAGGAAAGATTTTTTTTTGTTGTCGTTTTTGGTGTTTGGGCTGCTTTGAGCCTGTGTTGTACCAGCATGCGTGCAGGATACAAGTAGACGTATCACTGGGTAGGTATGTGGACATATGTACTTAAGGACCTCTCCCTCTTTCTTCTTACATCTGTTTTGTCCCAGCTTTCTCCTCCCCGTATCCCACCTACCCTCCCATGCTGAGGTGCATGCAAGCAAGGCCAGTTTTGTACGTCCCTGTTCCTCTGCCCTGGCTAGAAACTGTCCCTCTCCACCGTCTGGTCAGCGTTGCAGCCGTCTCGTGCCAACACCTCCCTGTCCCCCGCAGGACACCCGCCTCCCTCCCCGCTCTGCTCCTCTGCCACGTGGTTGGCCTCCTCGTTGGCTGCCACCACAGCGTTGTCAGTGCTGTGGGCTGGCTGGTGGTTGTCACTGCTGTGCTCCTCGGCTTCCTGCACGTCGGACTCTGCTTCCTCAGTGTCGCTCCCACCTCCAGCAGAGGGGTTGTTCTCCGGAGGAGGCTCCTTCTTCTTCCCTCGGTTCAGACAGCAGTAGCTGGCGACAGCCAGGAAGAGAGCAGAGAGCACCACCTCTGAGCCTGCCAGGTAGAAGATCACCTCATAGTTCTTGAGAGCATCGACCAGGCGGCCTGGTGGTTGAAGAAGAAAAGAGGGGGTCAGCTTCAGCCCACGCGTTCCTGCACAGACAGCCCCCCACAGGTGGGCAGCACCTACATTTGTCTGAGGACCCATTCCTCAATGGAAGAGCAAGAAGCCTGAATGTCTAAAAATCACCCTGGGCAAGAGCCACACTGTACCACCAGGGAAAGTACCATAAGAGTGCAGGGATGGTGTTTTCCCTTGTTTGAAGAACCTGAAGTAATTGTGACACACTGATGTTATGGTCTCCCACCATGGTGGGCCACCTTCTTCTTGCCAAGGTGAGCAAAGCCTCTCATGACTTCGCTGGTCAAGTCTCAGAAAAGAAAATTTGAGAGGCATTGCTATTTCTTAAGCTATTATGTCTGGAAAACATTCTGAAGTGAAGAAGAAACCTCTCTTTGACAAAGAAATCCCTTTGGTTGGCCCACATCTGATGGTTTCTCTACCAAAGAAATTTTCTCAATCTATCTTTTGAATGCACTGGGGCTGGCAATGGAGGTAGGGTTCCCAGTCTCTGGTGCTGGGGAGCCTCAGCAGCTGCCCTACTGCAGTCAGGATGTGGCCATGGGACTGTAGACTTCATCCTGGTCCTGCATGCTCCTGACTGTGCGTGTGATCCCCAGTCCCTGCTGCAGTACAGTGCATGACCTGAAACCAGCCCCAGGACACACTGAGGTGCCTCCTGGAGCAGTCATGGGAGGCATGTGGCAAAATCCCCCCCAGGTGAATGTGCCCCTATTCACCCAAGCCAGATGGCAAGTGAGGAGCCTGCGTGCACAAGCGGGCAGGCGTGTGTGTGCGTGTGTGCAGCTTATCCTGTGCCAAACCCCCTCAGCCCCACGGGGCGGGAAGCAGCTCAGGAGGATTACACCAAACAAAGCCACTTTGTTCAACCCCCTTCTCCCAGCGGAGCACTGTTCCCCCTGAGTCCTGCTCCCCCCGAGTCCTGCTCCCCCCAGTCCAAGCCATCAGGTTTGTCAGCACACTTGAGCTTCCTGCAACAGGGGGGTACTGCAGCAGCAAGGAAAGTGGGAACCACGACTTGGCTGCTCC